GTGCCGAGGGTTTTGCAGTTATGGGATTCGTGTAATCTATTCCAAAATTGTGTGATTTTGATGAATTCAAAATTCTTTGAATTTGAACTAAGTCATGTATCCTAGGGGTGTAAATGAGTCGAGCCGAGCTCGAGTTAGGGGGTGTTCGAGCTCGACTGTAACTCGAGCTCAACTGTAACTCGAGCTCGACTCGCGAGTCAAATACCAATGTGCATTTATTCACCCCTTTTTGGAATTAATTATATTGTATTCAATAGGAAACATATAAGTATTTCAACATTACCTTGCATTCATCATATCCTTTTGCATTATTTATAGTCATGTACACAATTTGCATGAGAATATTCATATAAAACTTACTGTTAATTATGACAATAATGAGTAATGTAGATGTGGACTTAAGACGTAATTTTTTTTTTAAATTTTTTACATTGTTATTGAAAATATCATATAAGCGTGAACTTTATGCTAACCATATGCTAATGGTTTGTTAGAATGCTAATGGTAAATAGATGAATGGTTGGAATTTGCAAGGTTGTGAAAACCGGACCGGACATCGAACCGGTAGAGAGAACGGTTCGACCGGTTCAACCGGTCAAACCGGGGTTGAACCGGATGACGTAATAAATACAATTTAGATGATATAAAAATCATATAAGATTAACTTACATATTACTAATATCTTATTAATATCTTATATAATTTTAAATTTAAGCATATTCAATCTTTAAATTTAACAAAAAAATAACTTACAAATGAATTAATAAGTTTAGGTTTTTAAAGCATTGGGAATTTGAATATCCTAAACCTAAAAAAATCATTTGTTAGTCTAATGTTAATGTATTTGAGTTGATTTTATATCATGAACCACAACCATTTTCTTTGGATTTTTCTATCTGTCCACCATCTTTGAGATTTACATCCAACACATTATTTGCACATTGCTCATATGGTCATGCCAGCCTTGTTCTTTATGATATTAATGGAGATGCAATTGTGCATTAGGTATTGGATATGAAAGATTTATTGAGTGATGATTTTTCTACTTTATTGGTGATTTGGTCATTAATTAGGGATTCATGATGTCTTCTGACTATGGGATCTTGTAAATCCTTTTCTTATATTTTATTTTGTTGAATGGGTCCTTCATTTTTATTCTTTTATTCTTTTATCTTTCTCTAATATGCTCTGCATTATCTCTTTCTTTCAGAAAATGTTCTTTTGTTGATTCTGTCTTATGTTATCAATATTTGATTAAGAAAAATTGTAATGATTTTGTGATTAAAAATAGAGATCTAAGGCATACGAAAATTCAAGTAGGGATTGAATAAAATTTCCTTTTAGATGTGTAATTTCTTGATGGCTTAAACTCCAAAAATAGTCACTCAATTGTTTGTGCGTTCAATTTAGTTATAGAGTATCACGTTTCTCTAATTAGTCATTGATTATTCAAAATTGATCGAAAACATCTCTTAGGGACTAAATTGGGATCAACTATGTATGACAATTTCTTTGTAGGGGTTCATTTTAAATCAACTTTGTATAGTCGAAGGATTAAATTGGAGAAATGTTGTACTCTTGGTGTAAATTGGCCACAGATGAATAATTTGGGGACTATTTTTGGGATTTAATATATTCCTTGGTTAATTGAGAAACTTGAAGAATTTTGTGCGATCCTGTCCTCTAGTACAAAGTATGATCCTTATTTTTTGGTGAATTCTTTCTCTTATTTTGCTTTATTCAATTTGATTTTTTTTTGGCTTGACAGAGTGATTGAATTTCAAAATGTTTTCATGTTTTTTTGTTCTCTTGAATTTCTAGTAAAATATGGTTAATTTTTCTTATGAATTAATTTCCCTGATGTTTTGTTCAAACGCAGCAGCTAATTGCTTAAGATTAATTGTTTGGTGCGCCCAATTAATTTTGTGTTCTTATTGAATGATTTTTCATATCCCATATTATATATGTTGGAAGCCCTAGACTCTACGATGTCCTACATCATCCTTGATTTAGGATTTTCTTAGACCAAATTTCTTTTGAATAATTAACATAAATTTAGAAAAACTAGTGCTCCGGTTTTTGTTCCTAGTTTCTCTCTATTCATATATTTTTAGCTATTCCTACAAAAGTTAATAAAAATGTTAATTTGATTAATGCATTTTTTATGGCATGGCTGATTTTGACCTTTTTATTAAGGTATACAAGTTACTCCCTACTGTGTACTGACCTAGTAGTTTTGGAGGAGTGTTGAATGCTATATACACCTCAAGGTAAAGGACTCTTAACTTCTTAGGTACATATCTTTGGCATTTGTTATATTATTTATGCTATATTGGTATACTACTTAGCTGTTACCATCTTTTCCATGACTAAAAATAAGTGTTTTGAGCATTTTGTTTGTTCTACAAATGAATTCAGATTAAACATTTTTACTTGGCCATATAATCTATACCATTGCTCAGTCATGTTGATAAATGATACTTGTTGGTGTTGGGTATTCAGTGGTTATATTCGCTTTTTACAAATTGGATAAAACATCTTTCATGTAAATATATCTACATGAATCTGTGTCATTGTCTTGATTTTGATAGTGCCCTTTTGATTGTTGTGTGTCTAGCTAACTTGATTGTTGTTTTGCTATTCCAAATGAGTTTGGCAAACTCCATCTTGTTGATAGCATTTCTTAAGATTTATGATCCTAAGAGGTTTGCATGTTTAGCTATACTATATTATTAATTGATGAGTATGTCTTGTCAGTTTATTATATGTAGCAATACTGTGATTGCTTTGTGTTGGCTTATATATATATTAGTTTGTGTGGAATTTGATTGTGTCGATCGATTGGATTGTATTGTTGCCACGGACATCAACTCAGTTTGTCATGCTTGTTGGGGTGTGAAGGTCCTCCCCTAGCTTAAGTTCCAGTTCAAAGTGAGATAAATTTTTTTTTTCTATACAATGCATGGTGTTGTGTACCTGAGAGCCTTGACATTACATAGTCACTTAGAGAAAAGATAGATAGCATATCGTTGCAGCGCTCAAGATCTGGCGTTGCAATGCTGTCAGGCAAACTAGAGATAGAGTATTGAATGCCATTGCACTCCAAATTGGTACCGCAGCGCGGTTGACTGGACAATTTTTCTTTTCATTTTTCTTAAGGATGGCGTCCCTTGATGGTATGTATTGTATCTTTTTGTTTGTTCTTGTGTAAGAATTATGTAAGAAGAAAAGCAAGTAGAGAGCAAGAGAGAAGAGAGATCTGTACAAATTTCTCTTAATTTTCATAGTGGATTTCTTGGCGTGATGTGGCTCCATGATTTTTTCCTAGTTTTGAATTTTTTCATATTAAATCCTAGTGTTCTTTACTTTTTCTCTGCATTTATATTTTCTTATTTGTTTTGTTGCATGGTTTACCTCCAACTCCAACAATATATTCATTTACCATTGTAAGCTATCCATAAATTGTTGCAATGTATCTACTTCTAGTTTTGGGGTTTGTTTGAGTGCAATTTTATTGAGTGTATTGCATTTTTCTCACACGTAGGTCCTGTTTGTCAATAAGCATGATTTAATATAGGATTTAGTAAATCCTTTAAATCGTGGATTTAGTAAATCTTGAAGCTGTTAAATCTTGAAAAATTATTTGGCAAGTTAAGTTATAAATCCTGTTAAATCCTATGGAGTTGTTTGATAATATACTTCAGAATTTAAGGTTGCTAGTTCATTTAAAAGTTAAATTGATTATGGTTTTAATTTAATTTATGTATTAAGTAAGAGTTATTTATTAATTTTAATTACTATCAATAAGTTATAATACTAAATAATTTAACTAGAAATTAGTTTGATTATCAAATAATTTAACCAATAATTTAATTGCTAATTATAGTACTAAGTATCAAATTACTCATTTAGTTGTTAATTTAATAAGTATTTGATATCTAATTATTTAGTTAATTATTTATTGAAATAGCTAATTATTTAATTAATACTTATGTTAAAAGTTTCATTAATTATTTAAGTGTTATTTAATTAGTTTTGATGATATATTAATTAAGTTAATTATATTAAATGTTAATTACTAATATACAACTAATTATTTAATTAAGCTAGTTTAAATTATTTATTTATAATTAAAATTTTTACCCTTTGAGATAGGATACGAAATGAGAATATATGTGTAAATGTTGGAGTAGCTCCAATGGAAAAGAGAGTCCGCCTTAGATGGTTTGGTCATATAAAATGGCGGCTTTTCGATGACTTGGCTAGGAAAGTAAATGTATTATATTTGACTTATGTTAAGAAATGTAGAGGTATACTTAAAAATAATTGGTTAGAAAATATTAGAAATGATATTTCTTTATTAGATTTAAATGAGAAGTTGACCTTTAATAAGACAGAATGTAGAAAAAAGATTCATGTAGTCGACCTTGCGTAGTGGGACAAATGTTTCATGTTGTTGTTTTTGTTGTACTAATTATTTAATTAATCTAAATTATAATTAATATTTTAAATTAAATTAATTAAGCTAAATTAGATTATTTCTAATTTGGATGGTAGGACATTTATGGTTAAGTTTTAAGCTTAATTTATATTTTAAGTATAAGTTATCTATTAATCTTAATTTTAATTATCATCAATGATTTATAATTAAAAATATAATATAATTAAAAATATTTAATTATGAAATTACTTATTAATTTTAATTTAATTATTTATAAGTTAATTATTAATTATTAATTTTAATTATTATTAAAAATAATCCTTATAAATAATATAATTAAATTTAAATTAATTATCAACTAATCTGAATAATTATTTAATTATGAAGTACAATATATTTTTAAGTAGTTTTAATAAAATATGTTGAATCAAATTAATTAATTCTTATCCTACTCTGACAATGCAATGGCCGCCAATTTCAAAAATTTATCTTCACTGTTTTGCTGTAGCCGTAGGCCTAGGGTTTGCATTTCCTCTCCAGCTGTTCGTACCTGTTCGACTTCGCCTACTTATCGCGTGAATCCCTCTTGTCGGGCCGGAAGTCACGAGAGCTCGCCGTTCTTGGGTCGGAAGCGACGTCGACAACGTGAGGGAGCTCGCTGGTTGCGAAGGTAACCATTTTCTCCCTCCCATTCGCGCGCTTCTTCGGCCAAATCTCGTAAATCCTCCGAACTCCCGGATTTAGTCCGCAAAAAGGTGGGAACGGCGGATTTATTCCGCCCTGAGATTTATGCCCTGTCAAAATCCTGTTTGGCAGTATTTAAGCTAAATCCTGCTCAAATCCTGCGTAAATCCAGTTGCTAAACAGCCCCACAAGGCCACATTGTTATTTAATCTGAGATTACACTAAGGGAAGGCTTTCTGACTATTAGGTCTGACATAATCATCTCATTGTTAGAACTATCCTGTTAACTTAAGCCCATGTAAATTAGTGTAACTGTTGATTTGCATTTGGAAACTAGATATTGAGCTCATTTTTACATAAAATCAGGCACATGTTCAATTACAGTTTTGAGCAGTAATTAGTCTTGATGATGGTTCATGTATTTCCACTACGTGGGAATACACTATGATACTCAACGGATCATAGAAAAAAAGGCTATGCAAGTGAAGGGAGGTCAAAACTTATGTTAATTTCACTTATTTGATAGTCGAAATAGAAGGTCTTTTGGTCTAATCGTTCCCTCACAAAGTCACAATCGAGCATTTTTTGATCTTATCCAATTAAGGTCATGTGATTAATTTGCCTAACAGAAGGTCTTACTGGAATTAAATTGACCTGTCTGAGGGTTATTAGCATATATTCCAACATATCTCATAATGGTTTCAATGACCTCTTAAGAGTTAATGGTTCATCTCAATTAAACTTAGTGATAAGACCTTTGAATGCAATCTTTATTGTGCCTCCTCAAATATGGCTTTGCTAGAATATTATGAGTTTTCCAAACTCATAATCTGTTACATTGTACCCATCACTACATATTAGTGGCATCAATGTTATCAAATTAAAAGTTGCCATCATTCCATCGAGGGCAATATATATATAAAAAAAAATATATCATTGAGGGCAATATGTCAAACTGCAAAGTACGTATTTGTTTCTTGGGGAAATTATTGGTAAAATTCTTTGTTCCTTTTTGTGAATGGAAAAATTATTTGTTCCTTAGGTAATATTTTTTGATCACTAGTATTTGTTTGTTGGTTACTAATTTTAAATTGCTGCAAATGTTATTGGAAGTGTAATGGTGAAATTATATTTAAGTTTTTGGTTTCTTTGATTATTAAGTGTAGCTGTATGAGTTTAATTAAACATGCTTGTGAAAGTGATCATTTGTTTCTACTACTTGACATTTGTTTTGAAGTCATTTGTTAAGTTGACAATTGAGACTATGTGATGTAAAACAGTCTTCTGATTTAATTTATATTTTTAATTTCTACTTGATGGAAACCCTAACCTTGAGCTCTGCACTACTCTTTTCTATCAGTAACTTGCAGCAATTTCAATTTATCCTTCAAAATAAGTGAACTATTTTATTATCATCAGCCATTTATGATAAACGAGGCTTTGATTGCTTTTACATGTATGTCTCTTTCAATTTTCTACAGATATTTTGGACAATATCGGCGAACGAAATTATATTATGCGGACATTTATTTCTTCCCATTCAATTTTGCGGCAGATCTATTTGTAGAAACGGGGAAGGTCTTTTTGTAGATTGCGGGTTACTGCTAAATTTTTATTTGGAAAATGGGGATAGAAAATTACCATGTTATAGAACTCATTGGTGAAGGCTCATTTGGAAAGGTTTACAAAGGCAGGCGCAAGTATACAAGTCGGGTTTGTAACATTATGAAAAATATTGTTTGTTGGTGGAATTTTTTTATAAAATTAATTTTCCTTTCTGATGTTCCAAGTTATTTTTTGCTTTCTTATTTTAGACTGTTGCGATGAAGTTTATTCTAAAATCAGGAAAGAGCGAGAAGGATATTCACAATCTTAGACAAGAGATAGAGGTATTTTTATACACAAACTTTACGCATCTTTCTAACCTGCATTTGTAGACCATGTCCTTTTCCTGCTGAAATTGACATTGAAAGTTACTCTGGATTAAATTCAGGAAGTAGCACCTGCTAAAATAATTTCATTTGTAATGAAATATTTTAGATTTTTGACGGATTGTCAATGAAAAAGAGGACATTTTTTATTATTGTTGGAATATATGAATTGCTTGTCCATTTCATAACTTTTCAATCGTTAGTCAGCTTGGTTATTTCCTATTTCATATTTTTTGCTTTATGTTGTCTCTGTTTTAAGTAATTGCTTTCCTTCTCATGAATGCCTAAGTTTTTTTTTAATAAATGCTTTTGTTTTATTTCATTCTTTTATTCACTTGATCTGTGACATTCATGTGTGTAAAATACACACATGTGCAATTATGCATTCATGTGTGTGTGTATGCGTGTAAATGCACACATTTGCACACACACCTACATACATAGTTCCACTTTCATGTTCTCGTGTTGCCAATCAAATGTGCCTATTATTTTTTAACATTAATTCATCTACTGTTTAGCACCTATCAACTATTTAATCGCTTTGAGTTGTAAGGAATGAAAAAATAATATAAAATAATTAAATTGTTAGATATATTTTGTAACTTTGGCTCTAGTTGAAATTTTAAGTTTATATATATATATATATATATATATATATATATATATCAAATCATATGCATTTAAATAATGATGCATGATGTGATTGTTAACTTTTATATAAAAAGTTATATTCAACTTCATATCCAAATTAAAAATAAATTTAACTTTATTTGGCCCATAATAGCATAAGTTGGAGAAATATGACCTCTACTTATTTTCTTGGAGAAGTATGTTCGAAAGATCGTTTTAGACCCAAAAAACCTGCTTTTAAACTGTGGCGTACTTATAACAATAGTTTGAATATGGTTGGAATAATGTTTGAGTTTTAATCTAGCAAGGTTTGTGATGCGGGCCTTGGTTTGGACTAGTTCAATCAATCGAACCTCATTCTCTCTCTCTTTTTTGTTTATTTTTTAGTAATTTCTTTAATTGTTTTAAAAATTTCTTTTCGCTCCAAAGGAGCCTTTTTTGGTGGGCTTGGCTTATAAATGAAAGTCACGTACCCTTCTTGTATGAGTTCATTTAATAAATTTAGAATATCTCTGATGTGAAACATAAAGCAATTACAGGAATTGCGTGGAAATAATAAAAAGTTATTAAGCTTGCTAATTAAAATTTGATGTTTTACAAGATTAGATTATAGGATTTCTTAGTTAAAGATCTAATAATAGCATCTATGATGCACCGATACTTCGTTTTAAGAGGGTATGCAGTGTCGGACTTGTGTCAGACACGCGTGTCCGACCATTATATAAATAAATAAATAAATAAAACCCTAATCCCACTATTTCATATTAGTCGGTTCATGCCCGAGTCTTCATCTTCGCCTTAATCCCGTATTTCTATTCGTATTCGTGGTCTTCCCGAGCCATTGAGGTGAGAAGCAGTTAGTTGGAGATCGCACCCTTGGTCTTCCCTTTTGGCTGCAAGCAACAAGCCATCCTCCTTAGTTTCTACGCACAGCCGAGGGAAGCCGAAGCCAAACCGCAGAAAATTATTCAAACCTGTAAGTTGATTTCGCCATTTTTTCTCCATTCGCAATTTCTCGTCATTTATCAATGATTATGTAGATTTGTGATCGGAAGAGCATATTTTTTTAAAGTGTTTTATTTGTTTTGGATTAAAAATACTTTTACAAAAAAAAGTTTATTTAAGGTGTTTTCAGTCCGCTTTCAATGCGCTTTCATTGCGCTTTTACTCCGCTTTCAATTCGAATTAAGAGACCTTACAAATTAATAATGTGCTAAATTAGGAAATTAGCATATTTAGGAGGGCAAGGGGTGGCCGGCGGTTAGGGCTTGGAGGGGAAGGCCAACGGTTAGGGTGGAGGAGGAGGGCTTAAGGCTGGCTATGGGCGAGATTTTGTAGGATTTTGGCGTGCGGCTACGGAGGAGGGGAGTTGGATAAAGGTTAGGTAAGGGTGGCCGAAGGCTTGTGGGGTGCAAAAGGAAGGGACGCGGGCTTGGCCGGCGGCTTCTGGAGGGGATATGGCCGGCAGGTAGTGGAGGAGGGGAATTAGAGAAAGAAAGTTAACCATGAGCCCGAACACTTCTTGCGGCTGGTGGGAGTTGCTTTTGCCCTCACATAGGGACTTCTCTTCTCTAGAGCTCTCAACATTCAGGAGAACATGAATGCAAAATTTTTCATTAATTATCATCCTCATACAATAGCAAATGCCTCCATATATAGGCCTCAAACTAAAAGAGACTCAAATAGTAAAATGCTCTCAGGTTTGTAACACAAACTAATCCCGTATAGGGGTACACTGGGAAAGACTAAAACATAAGTATAAGAAATACATAAAATTCATCATAAATAAAGACTCCTAATTGTCGTCGTCGATCTACGATTCTTCCTGTGATAGATGCGCCAAAATCTCGTGCTGATATCCTCATCAATCTGTTTTTGATTTTCTCCTCTGAGTATCCTGGCTGAGCCAGATGGTGGTTCTGTCCCCTAGCAAAGCAAGTAGGTTGTCGTCCATTTCTTCCCTCCCCCATCTCTCATCTTCACCAATAAAGTGATGAAACCTGCAGTCCAGCTGCTGTTCGCGCCTTTTATAGGCTTCAAATTTGCTGGCCATTGTCTTCCAAGCGCTAGAGATTGCTGTGTGCCTCCTTTCTCCAGCCAATCTGGGTAGTCTAGCTGCTGATCCCTCATAGGCCTCCAACAATAAATTGAAGCTGTACAAGGTTGTCGACACATTCCAGGCTGCAGGGTTTTTCTCCAATCTGCTCTCATTATTCCAGTTTTCGCTAAGTGCAAGATTCCATGTTCGAGTTCTTATTTGAAGTGCGTTGTGACTTGCCTTGGTTCACATAAGGTTCGAACCATATTCTAGTAAGGTTTAGGCTCATGTTCGAACTTTTTCTGAACCATGTTGGAATTATAATCGAAACATATTCTAGTAAGTTTTAAATATGGTTTGAATGTGGATTGAATGAAGCTCTATCAAGGTTCAAACATGGGCTTACCTAGGTTCGAACAAGATTGAACCATCTTTTATCATCTTTGAACTATGATTAAACCATCCTCAAACTATGATCGAAAAAATTAAACAATCTTCAAACAACGATTGAATAATCTTCAAATGATGATAATACCATGATCTAATCATGATCAAATCATAATTGAACCATTTTCAAACCATGATCAAACTATTATTGTTCATCTCAAACATGTTCGATCATGTTCAAACGTGGTTGAATTATGATTTGATCATCGTTCGAAGATTGCTCGAATCATGATCCAAGATGGTTAGATCATGGTATGATCATCATTCAAATATTGTTCTTTCATGGTTCAAAAAATTTCCAATCATGGTTTAATCATTATTTGAAGATAATTTATTTCGAAGATTGTTATAACAACTTTATATTCATTAGCATTATGGGTTTAGAGTTTGGACGCCATATTCAATCATAAATAACCAAACAAATAACATCACTAACCTTCATGAATGAAGTGAGATTGCAGTCGTGAAGTTTTCCCGTAGCCCAACATATGCACATTTTGTTATGCTAGAAACAAAAAAAGTTGCTCGAAGAAGAATGATCGAGTATCTCTTGGGATCGAAAGGTCACGCAACCTTTCAACAAGGATTTCAACTGTAGTTTTTAGATGGTGGGGGTTTGTTTAGTCTGAAATGAACTTTTAGCTATATTTCCCCACGAAAATAAATGGTGGTATATTTCTTCAATTTCCACTATTGATGGGTATACAAAGTCAAAATTTCCAATTTAAAGATAATGACATAATGCGATGACTGATCTTACTTTTCAATATATTTGAATTGAATTTCAGATATTGTGCAATGTGCCACACAATACTATGCCAAGTGTCATATCCTGATTTAGGGTGCGTTTGGGACGCCGTTTTCATTGCTGCACGGTAGGAAACGCAACCGAGTTGGGGTTTGGGGAGACGAGGTCGCGCTCCGTTCTCGAACTTTTTGCGTCCCGCGGCTACTTTTTCCATCCTGAAGTAGACTCCTGCTTTCGCTGCTTTCCGTTGTTTTAGGGTAAGAGAAAGACGCAAATGCCTTGCGAAATGCACCGTATCTTCTTCTTCCTCGTAAAGTTCGGCACTTCGCACTTCATCCATTTCTCCGCACAAGACCGCTCGATCGGTATTTCAATGAATTGATGGAAAGAATAATTTCGGAAAAAGAGGCGATCGATGAGGAAAATCTGCCTGGGTGGAGACGGCAACAAGGGCTTGACTGCTCGAAGAGCCGGCGATGCGGCCGACAAAATGGAATCCCTAGTGGCGCCTGAAGAGGACTTAGACGCTTATTCCGATCATCTTTGTGCTCCAAAGTCTCCCCATTTTCCTTCATAACCAATTCCTCTTTGCCATTGCTAGTTGGCCTAGACCACTTCACATGCTGCTTTGTCTGCTGATCATAGGAGCTCAGCTCACCATTTTGTTGAACAGCAATATTTGCCCTTTCATTGGGGCCGCAGACACAATGAGGAGGAAGCAAGATATCTCCATTGGCCCAATTGTGAGGCTTCGGTGGATCCAAACCATTTTCCCTTTTCACAGGCTCGACCAAGTGTCAAAAAACAGAGTTTGTTAAACTCAGGCTTGCTTAGTTTCTGGGACAGAAGCCTTTGAAGGCCGTCGAAGTAGCGGCGGGTTCTCACGGTTCCAAGCCGCTTAGCTAACTGTGACTTCAGCTCGCCGAGGTCAACCCTAGACGTCGACAGAAGGGGTAGCGGCGACATGTCTCAGTGAACAGTGAACATACCAAAACAAAATAACTTAACCAAAATCAACGGAAATTAAGATTAGGGCTTGCACCGTTTCCTGCATGAAGAGCCGGCGATGCGGCCGACGATGGACATAGTGGCGGCGATGCTCGACGGAACTATTGAGGTTGGGCAGCCCAGGCCGGAGGCGGTTGGAGTTCTACGACTGTATGGGAGGGATTTTCTTTACATCGGCAAGAGTGAGAAACAAATTTTATTGATTTCATGCTATTGTATAGAAAAATTAAAATAAATTTAAGTAAAAAATTTATAATATTTTGATATATAAACTTAAAGAAAATTAAAATAAATATTTGATTTGAATTTAGAATTATTAATTTGTTATCATATAAATTTTAAAAAATTTATATTTAATAAAAAATTTCATGCTAATGCATATAAGGGTATCAAGGTAATTTATTGTTACACAGCAGCAGCACAGTAGCTCGGCAGTTATACTACCCAAACAAATTTTATTGATTTTTGTACAGCAACTTTATAAAGTAGCTTTCTGGACAACAACTTCACAACCTGCTTTACCGACAACTGCAGCCGTCCCAAACGAAGCCTTAATATACATATAAAAACTATGTTTTACAGTGAGTGATAATATGTATAGTTCAGCCTAAGAAATTTCATTTTATAGATTCTAATTATATTTAGATTTAGTAAGGATAGATTGCCATCCTTTTCTATAGATAAACAAACCCCATGCAATTTTTTTATCATATTTTTTAATCTTGCAATATTCATTTTGTAAAATTATACTGTTCTTCTTATTATATATCGCAAAAACAGGATATCGAATTTAATGAAATTTAAAGATGATTTGGTCTTGCATCAAGCGTGTAAATTTAATAATCTATCATGTAATTTTAATAATCTAATGGGGGCTTTAGATAGATAAATAATTCATTAGTTTTGTTGATTTGATTTTGAGCATGTATAATATGAAATCTAGAATAATTTTGATTAAGAAAAAATTAGTTGTGCTATTAGCTAGGGGCCCTGTAAGGCATCCTTTTGTTTTCAGCCAGCTTAATTGGTGGTCAAATGTACTTAAAATGCATTCGAGTTAAATTCCCAAATTATTCTTAGATTGTCTATCAACATAAATGATTCTTATATCCAAACACAATTACATAAAATAAAATTGCATGGAGAATAACTTTGTTTTCATATAGCATTTGGAGTGTAACGTAAAAGAAATGCACGAGTTTTGATTTTTTGTTGTTTGTTTTGTAGTTGAGCAATTACAAAGCATTTGTGTAAAGGGGTTTGGAATACCCTATAATATATATTTTTGACAAATTTGTAATTTTCCCAAATCAGACAAATTCTAATTGCAGAAAAACTCAGGCCGCTACTTCATTTCTCCACCCCTTGTCGTTGTATGCCTCCCGTTCACTGCCCTTCATCCACGTCCACCACCTGTCATCGTCTGTTGTATTTCAATGCATTTAAAAAAACAACAAAAAATATTTCAATGTATTTGATTTGCATCTAATCAAATAAGTCTTTTATTTACAGGATGCGTGCATTTTAATTGTTCTGCATTTCTAAATGACGTATATTTTAAAAACATTAATTAAGCAACCCCATAAGAGGAACTCTTTTCGTGTTCTCATTTACTGGGGAAATACTTTATGCGGCTGTTAAGCTAAAATTTAAAAATCAACTCCTGTTTAGCCATTTTGAAAACTAATATTTGCAATGAATGAAAACATATATTGTACATTGAGAGAAAATTCTCTTTACAAGATGTGAATTAAACCTAGGTTCAATAATGGTTCAATTTCTAAATAAAAGAAAAAGGAAAAAAAAAGTTCGATGTTAAAATTTCAACCTTACTGGTGAATTTCTTACTAATGATTTATCATTAATTAAATTTAAAAAATTAATTTCTGGGCTCATTAGAATCATTACTTTATAGATTCTGAGGAAACTGAAACATGAAAACATCATTGAAATGCTGGATGCCTTTGAAAGTCCTCAAGAATTCTGCGTTGTTACAGAGTTTGCCCAGGTACAGGACTTCGTGATTTAATTATCTACTTTACTTTTATAAATCGTTAAACATGTGTACATGTTTCAGAACCTGCCTATCTGATATTTTTTTTTCTCTTGTAGGGAGAATTATTTGAAATTCTTGAGGATGACAAGTCACTTCCAGAAGAACAAGTTCAAGCGATTGCTAAGCAACTGGTAATTGTTGCAGCCTTTTGTTTCATTATTCTTATCATTGTCACGACCCGGCCCGGTTAGCTCGCAAGTGCGAGGCGGGAACAAAGATCGGACATGAAGAAACTAAAAGGGACATTTCGTGACAATTAATATAATTCCAAAATAAAGCATCAATATCAAGAAAGAGCCACTAAGATTTTCAAACATAAACTTTTTCTTTCCAAGATCACCAATCATAAGTGTTTAGCCTTTAAGCATATCTTTATACAAATTTTATGTCTATTTTTACGGTGCAATCTCAACGACTGACTTTGATTTTCTTGCTATCCCTTTTTTTCAGGTAAAAGCCTTATATTACTTGCATTCCAATCGCATTATCCATCGGGATATGAAGCCACAAAACATACTTATTGGGGCAGGATCTATTGTTAAGGTTAGCCTATTCTGTTCTTATGATTTTTTGTTTTCCTTCTTTTATATGAAATTCTGCTAATGTGGGAATTTTTTGTGATGGAGCCTATTTGAAATATTTTTCATTTGGTTTGTTATATCAAAGGGAAGCCTTTTGAATTTGAAAGAAATTCTACTGTTGCATTATGAGTTTTTATGTTATTGTATGATTATTTTGCTTAGTTTATCATTTCTTCCTAGTATTTTTTTATCTTGCTTAATTTGTTATTTTTTTAGTTTGAAGTTATATTATTTCAATGCAAATTTTACTGATTTTTTTCAATGTTTTTTAGACATCATTGCTTGGAGGGTCTTTTCTTCTCCCTGAATAAATTTTGTTAATTCCAGTAGGAATCTCATGGGTTTAAAGTTTGCTAAATAATCTTAGATGCCACTTAGAATGGATTCAGTATTGTATGGTCCAAAATATTCGTAAACTTTGGCTGTAGGAAACTTTGTCCCATTTTTGGTTTTAGAACTGGGATTCAATGAGCATTCGTTAATATGTTGGTTTTGCTGATTTTATCTAAGATGGGTTTGTGGAGGCATTTGGGTGATTGGGATGTGACATCAATAGAGATAGGCCTATTTTAAGTTGGTCAATCAAGATGGTAATTTTGTATCAGTCAATTAATGCGAGGTTGGGGACTTTTTTATTAAGGATGGTCAAATTAATTATGGTAACTAGACTTTAGATTCAAAATGAAAATTGTGATGGTTTGGTGAGGACAATATCACTTTAGTTGGTGATAAAAAACAGTGTTTTCATTTTACAGAAAAAAATGAGAAATTGTGACAAATGCTGCTAGGTATCATTAATATAATTGGTCCCAACACGTACTCCCATATGATGACTGGCAAGCATGCAATATAATGCATGCTAAAAATCATAGTGAACTTAGAAAAATGACTTGCACGCGGGCCCTTAACTATGCAAACTTGTCTTGACAATTGTTTACTTCTTAGATTATTTTAAGTATCATGACCTTATGTGCCTTTTTATGTTTGTGCGAAGTCAATTTTTAATTTTTTGGAGAAGAAAAGTTAAGGGCAGACAACAAGTGGACGCCTTGAATTATATATAGGCTCAGCATACATGTTACAGCACATTGAGTATAACCAAATATGTCTTACTGAATTTCTTCACATTCAAGCTAATAAAATTTTGTATTATAACATAGTTTTCTTTGGTTTACCATGGTTCTTTGGGGTTTCTCTTTACAGCTTTGTGATTTTGGCTTTGCTCGAGCAATGTCAGCAAACACTGTTGTTCTCCGCTCAATAAAGGGTAAATTCTATAATTCTTTTGTTAATTTCTTTTGTTAATTTCTTTTGTTGGAAGGAGTAAATGATTTATATCATCTTTTTTAAGAGTCCTTTCTTGCCAAATATCTCACTCCGATTTTGTAATTATTCAGTTTGAATTATTAGGATAGTCATCTTTTGTATGCATGTGAAGAACAATCATAAATTAAGCCTTTTAGGCGTAGTACAAATACATTATTATTTTTGTCTTACCAATTATGAAAATTTGTAAATAGAAATAGAATTCAAATGTCAATGATATGGTATGTATTAAGGACAGTTGTGGTTCCCATTTAGGATTGACACAAATATGAATGGTAGGAAATAAAGGAAATATACAATAGTATTATGTAGTAGTTGAAAATAGCTATGTAGATCATATTTAGGAATTGAGTCAATAGGAATAATGTGTTTGAATCCCAAAATTGATGAGGACATCAGTCAGAGATTTCAACATGTGTACTGTCATCGGAGTCGTAGATCGACGGCTACGATCTAGAGTCTTTACTTTTGATATATCTTGTATTTTATTTATTCTGCACTTTCTATTTTCCTAGTTTAACCCTATGGGTAGTGAGTCGATATTGTAGCCCCGAGGGCACCTGTGTCTTTCCGTTTTTCTTTCATTGATGCCTATATATTAAGGTCTCTTAGCTTTGTAATGGTTAATGTTATTGATATAAAAATTTCAGCTGATGGGTTATGATCTCTTTGTGAGTTCAAGAGAAGAGGAGTCGTCTAGGAGAGGCTCACCAGACTACCCAACAACCCCTTTTGTGAGAGCTCTTGGTTCTTCATTCCCCCCCCCACTCACTCTTTTATTTCATTCCAAGCCGACTCCACCCCCTTAGCCCGCCGGATTCCCTCCCCGTTGCTGCCATCCTGCCGCCCCTTTCCCCCTAGCCCAACCTGCCGGATTCCCCTTCCCCAGGCTGTCATCCCGCCGCCTCCCCTCTTTCCCCCATAACCCTTGAGTTTTTAATTTCAAAATTCAAATCCACATTCATCACTTTCCTAAATTAATCTTACCAATTAGGAAAGCATACTTATTTGAATTCAAATAACTCCTTCCCTACTCAATTACAAATTCGGAAACCTCTCTACTATTAATCAAAATCTGAAATTAATTTCAGATTTGACTTCAATCAACATTTAATTCTCATGGCCCACATACAACGAACCTAGACACCTTGCTCCTCCCTCGTGTGGCCGGCCCCTTGATTGGGCCTTTCTCTCTCCCAATTTAATTTCAAATCCCCACTAAATCAGCTCCTAATCCTCTCCTAATTGCCGCTCCTAGCCATTAATGAATTAATTTGAATTTTCAAATTAATTCCCTCAAAATCCACTTAAAGCTGAATTTAATTTCAACTCTCTAATTTTCCCCAATTGTTTCCCTAACCTAGCCGTCCCGTCCCCCCCTCTTCCTCACGCCGCCCAAACCCCTCCCCATTACCCAAGCCGCCGGCCCTACTCTCCACCCGCCACCTCCTCTCCCTCTTCTCCCCACTTGCGCTCTCCCATCCCTCACAACAAGTATGCATGGCGGATCCGGAAGTTGACCACGGGCTTATTCTCAATTCTCAAGGGGAGATCGACGCCATCCATTCACCCATTCTTTGATCACAGATTTGGAGCCGAAGACACCATCAAGGAATACGTGGATCATATCCTCCCCCATTTAGCGGAAGTCATGGACGAACAAAAAATCTCTTGAAGAGTGGAAGATCACCGGACTACTACCCGTTCCTTCAACTCCGATTCCTTCCCCGGCGACTAGTAGCCTCGACATCGCGTGTCTTTTAGTGGCGTCTGTAAGTTTACTTGCAACATTCTTCTGCTAAGCCTATTACTATCAAGAGTGTGAGTGAGGGATCCCAAGGTGAATGATCTAAACTTTAAACTGTGGATTTTGTGAACGTGGCCATTTGCTCTACTCATTTATTTGTTGATGTAATTTTGCAAATCTCATAGTAATCTCAATTGTAATCACTTGTCGTTACTTAGTCCTTCCCGTGGAATTTTCTAAGATCTATCTTGAAAACGCATCTGTTTATGTTTAGCTAAGCAAAGTTCACACTTTATTAATTTCGTATAAGCAATTCTTGTTTCATCATCATTGTTTCACATCAAAAATAGTCCCCCAATTATTCATATATTGTAATTTTAGTTTTAGAGTATCACATCTCCATATTTTAGTTGCACAAATATAGACAATTTATCCTCATAGAAATTGTGATGTAAAATTGATCCCAATTTAGTCTCTTGATTATATAAAATTATTCCCAATTAGTCTCTGAGAGATCATTTTGAATGAATTTTATATAGTTGTGGGGCTAAATTAGAGAAATATGATATTATGGGACTAAATTAGAATATTAGATATGAACAATTCCTACTTAAAATCAAATATAAAAGGAAATGACATAAAATGTTATGCTCATATGTGCTATAAGAATCATCCATATTCAATTATTCATAAGAAGCTTCATGAATTAGATATTAATTTAATGCATAAGTTATTAGTTAATGATGGAAAATTAAATCAGGACTAATCATTTGAACTGTTGTATGAACATGTACTGAACTTTAATTTTTTATTGTTATCATTTTTCTCATTCTTCACTAATCATTATTTTAGAAATATCATATCATGTTTATATGCTTTGGATCTTTTGTGTCATCCTCCCATAGATAATGGTTTGGCTAACTAACTCTCCATTATTAAGGGCTTGAATTTTTCTTTTTTATTATCTTGATAAAAGTTGGACTAATCAACTCTCCAATATCAAGAGACAAGAATTATTATTCATTCTTTTTTTTTCCTGATAAAGGTTTGGCTATGTAACTCTCTAGTATTATGAATCATCTCTTCCTACACAGATCATCAAAGGTAGCCTGCTTAATTCACATAATATGACGTTTCATAACATCCTTGAATTTCATTATCATTATTTTATTCCTCATTTTTAAGCATACACATTATTCTTCATTTCATTTTGATACACATACATATAAAATATGATACTGTGCATTGTATGTTTTATACTTGTCATGAAATCATGTAAATTAATGAACATATGACATGTATAAATGCATAATATGCATTGATCTATTTGATGCTCTCTTTTGTTTTTAATATGTTTATTATGCAATAAATCCTATAAATGCCATCATTAAAGTTTAGAGGAATCATTTGACCATTATATTAGAAGTTGAGTATCTCACCTTATTAATTGAGTTTTCTCCTCAATGGATGTCCTTATATCTTCCTCTCTAAAGCTTCAATCTTTTCTAAATAACCAAAATTTTCTCGTATTTCTTTTTCCTTCCTTTAATTCCTTTCTTTGATTTTGCTCTCATTCTTACAATATATTTAAATACTATTTTATTAATTATGAAGGGACAAAAAGAGAGAATACTGTCATTCTTTAAATGTGTATGAGGAGAGAGCTCCATCTCAAAATAGGTTTCTGTGATGTTTTTGTAAAGAAATATTTTAATGCATGGAGAAAGTATTTTTTATTTTAAATTGAAAGCTAAGACTTAAAATTCAAATATTGTGTAAAGTAAAAAATAAAGTTTAGAAGTGATTTTTTTATATAATATCCAAATAATATGTTAAATGATATATTAGCTTTCTATCACACTTTGAAGTAATAAATTGACATACAGATGAAACAAAAAATTGCACAAGACATAAAGTGTCAAGTGATAAATTGCGTGAAATAGAATTGAAATTCAAATATTATAAAAGAGTAAAACAACATAAAATATACGAATTGCATAAAAGTATCATATGATATCAAGTGCAATTCCAAATTCCTTTTTTCCAAGTTCTCTACTCATCCATTTTTAATTCACAAAGAAAGTTGAACTAGTTGACAATAACTAAAAAATCATCTGCATTGTCATCACTAAGAAGGCTTTTATTTGAGTCGACGTCATAACAAATTGGTATCTCTCCTATCTCATTCTGTGAAGTCCAATGCATCCTAATCTGCTTATTTTTTATTTATTTCACTCATCTTCCTCTTTCATAAATGTTTTTCATCAACATAAAAGTGAGAGTAATAATCTAAAATTTTTTAGAGGAGGTGGTGGTGGTATGTATCTTCCAAGTGAATCTCAATGATGACTATGACGATGGTGGTTGTGGCGGAGTCGGTGAGCTGGTGGTCGAGACAGTCAAGAGGAAGTTATTGTAGCTCTGGGGGTGCATGTGAAGGCATGATTTGTTCGGGGCTTTCGTTTATATATATATATATATATATATATATATATATATATATATATATAGAGAGAGAGAGAGAGAGAGAGAGAGAGAGAGAGAGAGAGGGTGTGTTGTACGCCTCATGCCACTGAGTTGGGGCATGTCGCCTTTGCCAAATTAAGGCGCATGCTTCATAAAAGAAGCTTGAGGCGTAAGCCTTGAGACGTTTTCACCAGAATTGTGCTAAGGTGAGTCTCATATTGTGCAATTTCAAACAATGGATAATTTTAGTTTTATTTTTCAAATTAGGTTTTGCATTAACACTATCTGTATTGTAATAAATAAGCCCATGTGATGAATGAAAGTATAAAAAATTATCATTTTTCAAAAAATCATTGCATATCACAATCTCTAAAGTTGTTGCAATAATAATGTTTTTATTCTCCAATACATTCTGTGGGGTTATTTTCTTGTTTCATTTAAAATATCTTTCATTCTTGATATCAAAGATTGTGAAAGTGAGTAAAAATAATGGTCAAATAACTTATGAGTGAGCTGGATGCAATCAATTGACAATATCATCCTTTTTATTATTTTTATTTGAAAAATTGCTATTTAAAGCTTTTAGCGAACCTTTTAGTGCTTGTTTAGTCCTCCATGAAGTCCTTTTCGATATCTACTGATGTCAAACATTTTGAAGTATTGGCTTGTTAGTGGAATCTCTGTTTGTAAAACTGATACGTTAGATGATTGTAGTCAAATCTGATGAGAAATTGGAACTTCCTTTTTGATACTCAATGTTATTACAAAGTGACCAATGATTGCAACATTCATCTTTAGCTGGGAAAGCTGCTATTGGAAGCTAGCTGATTTTATTACTATTGTACAAGGAGAGCTTTCGTTGGTTTTGATTATTTTTAACAAGCCTTTTTAACCAAATTTGGCTAGTCGGTTCAATCGATTCAACCCTGAACCAGTCCCTTATCAATTCGGTTCACATTCAAAACTATCATTGCTTAGAATTGGATTCAATTGGGCTGAACTGACGGTTGAATTGGGTGTGGTTTCAATGAATTGCCCGATTCATATCTTAATTAATTTATTGCCTTTTATTTTTAATTTTATGGATAGATATAAATACTTTAGATTGAATAAAACTATTTAAATTTATGAACCTTAACTCCTAACCCCATATCTCCTTAAATTCCTTGATTTGTTAATCAGTATTAAATATTGTCTACTATAACTTGCAATATATTTATATAATTGGGTACATAAAATTTCGAAGGACTATTTAAATTTCATTTATGACTACAAATTAAGAGGTTAGTTAGTCGCTTAAATGTAGAATGCATTTAAATTTAAAATTATAGTAGGTATTTCTTGTGTATGTTCTATATTTCATGAAATTGTTATCTTCGTTTTTTTGTCACATATTTTCTTCATTTTTACACCATTTAAGAGGTTAGTTGGTTGGCTTAAAAAGAAATGTAGCGTAGGAATGCATTGCATTTGAAATGCTTTAGAGTAGTTTGGTTAATATCAAATAAATATAGATGATTATTTTTTTTTTCATTTGACTTGAAGTAAATGAATGCAATGTAAATTCTAAAGATGGTGGTGGTTGGTGGCCAGTGCTGGTGGTTAGTGGTGGCGGCGTCAGTGGCAGTGGTTGGCGGCATGCAGCGGCAATGGAGATGTATGTATGTTGTATTGGAAATTCGCTCAAATTGGACGAATTTCAAATGCACCAAATTTACACTATAGGGTGCATTTCAAATACACCAACAATTTATATTGCTTTTTTTTTCAAACCAAATATTAATATTCTTGAAACCTTTGCATTTGAAATACTTTACACCCATTTTACTTCAAACCAAACAACTCCTAACCCTAAATAATATTTAAATAATTTTAATATTTATTGGGTCAACTTCAATATTCTCTATCCTATGTTATCTTCAAACTGAAAATTAGTGAAAGGAGAAAAATCATAGAACTATTGACTTTTCTTATTTTAATAATCTGTCTCAATTGTTTCTTTATGCATTATGGTTGAAACAAATCAATTGCAAATTCTTTCTTTATGGTTATTGCGTTTAAATGTGTGGCTATCTCAACTATGGAAGTTTTATGGAGGATGATGCAATTTACCTATTGTATTTGCTGGAATTTGTATATGTGGCTTGATAAGTCATGCTTCTTCATTTGGTAGGTACACCGCTGTACATGGCCCCTGAACTGGTGCGTGAACAACCATACAATCACACAGCTGATTTATGGTCCCTTGGAGTTATCTTGTATGCCAACATCAAACTTCAAAAAGCTTGTAACGTATTTCTATATATATATATATATATATATATATATATATATAATCAATGCTTATGCATTCATGTGCGTAAGTTATTTAATTGCAAATTTTTGCATTCAGCATTTTCCTTGTCTAGAATAAGTTGGCTTTATTTGCTTGCTTTGCATAGTTAGCAAGGCTTCATTACTAGTTAGAATTGGTTGTTGGTTCAGTGTGAAATTCATGCGGGAAATTACTATTTTATTTTCTTGTTTATTTATTTATTTCACTTGCGTAACCATAGGGTATTTGAGGGTGGTTTTTTATCAGTAAAAGAATTTATGTGAATTCTTTTTCTTTAATTACTTCATGCAAGTTTTAGCTCGTCTATCTTATTCTTCACCTCTCATTGAATTGATTCTTCATATTTAACATCTTAACATGCTGACAAAGTAATCCTTTTGCCTCTCTAATTGTTTAATGAGGTTTTTAGCACATTAAATTAATAAAATTCTTAAAAGAACTGACTACTCTATTTGAATTCAAATTTTAAAGTAAGACATATATGATGCAACAGTTAAGTATTAAATAAATTGTTATTTTTGAAGTAAAAATCGTGTCAAGCTTCATGTGATAGTTGACTATCAAATAGCAAACCAATCTAGCTTTCTTTAGATTCCTCATACAAGACATGTGCCAATTTATTGCTATTTTTCATATGGATGCATAATCTTTTGTTTCCTTATTCTGGCTGGTTTGGTTGGTAATTTCCACCTTTTACAGATGCTAAAATGGCCTTATTATTTTATGATATGCTGATTACTATATTAGGGAAGCTAATTCTACTCCTCGTATTGTACCTATTCACGACTTCCCACTATAGGATAGGTGTCACGACCCGGCCCGGTTAGCTCGTATAGACGAAGCAGGAACGGAATCGGACGTTCAGAACATTTCAATCATCTTAAAACATGTATTTAAAAATCTAAAAGACTTTAACAGAGATTTAAAAGCGCCTCTAAATTCTCCCAATATATAAAAACAACAGTTCATATCATTTCATGTCATTCAAAATTACATAGGTGGCTTTAAAATTTCTAAAGCATGCTAAGCCACCCAAAAAGAAAATCAACTACAACTTGGAAAACATCAAAAGAACCTGTCAGTCGGTATACAACGACTGTAGGTGAACCTTGGGTGTTCCGCCATTTCCTACGAGTAGGTTCTCCTGAAAAGTATCCTTAGACTAGGGAGTGAGCTACGCTCAGCAAATGACAAATCACATCTAAAATTCATACAATGAAAAAGAAGTAATATGCAAAGATATCATCGTATGCTTACAGATGTCGATGTCCTGTATTATATGTAAGTCAATAATTGTCAAAACCATATGTTTCTTCCTATATGTCATATGCTCCTAAGTTGATGTCATATGTAATGTGTATATCTAAGTTATATGTTCCATCTTACATATTATATGCTTACCTCTTTTAACTCTTACATGATATAACTTATTCATATAATATACACCCGTACCGAAGTATCCATATTGTACTGATCAGGTACAAACTCATATTTGACCATTCATCATCATATTGCTCCGAAGAGCCATATTGTTCCAAAGAACCTTATTGTGCCAAGGCACCATATTTGGTACTCCGAAATCAACATGCACAAACTTGCATTCCATAACATAACATAAGGTTGTTCATATCGTAACATAAGAAATTTCATAACATAAGATGATTTGCCACATACATATGAAGACTTGTTGTAAGCATGAAAGTAAACATTCATTCCTATGAATCATACATGAAGAAAACTAAGATTAATATCATATGCAACTTAAGAAACATAAACTTTTACAAGATTATTGCTAACATCCCTACATAATTTCAATGTTTCAATGATGCTCATATACAAAACATGCTTCCAATGATACTCATAAGCATAAGCAAAACATAATTTCAATGATGCTCAAGTGTAAGACAATTTAATGTTTTATAAACACACTTAAAGAGAAGACTATGAAATTTAGAATGCAATGTGTCACTTACCTTGAGGTTTCTTCGCTAAACTTTAGCTTCGCACAACTCCCTCTTAAATCGTCCTCGTCTAAGGTTCAACACCTAAGGTAAAATTTACAATGACATCATAAGCCTTTTTATACCATTCTAAATCAATCATACCCCGCTATCCCTACATTCTATTAATTAATTATCCACTTAGAATCATTAATGCTCATTAATCTACCCATAACCTAAAGCATGCATATCACATTTATTAATTTATCACATATCCACAATCTAATGCATTTATATCAATTATTTTCCTTAATGTAAAATGTAATTTAAATGTTTAATTTTCGGATTTAAAATAATGTAGAAATTAGGAAACATATTTTTTTTATCAAAATTTCAATTTCTTTTAATTATAGACCTCCCATGACCTTTAGGAACAACTTTTGTGAACATGCAAGCTCAAAAACTCTAGTTTTTGAAAAGCTCTAATTTTTAAAACCCAAATTTTTGAAGAAAATTTGCATTTTTCTTCATATAATTCCTTCCCTTAAGTTCTTCTAACATTTTTTCAAAAATAATTCAAATTGGAGAAACCCTAATTTGAAAAATAAAGTTTTTCCTTAAGAAAAATTCGTGTTTATGGCTTTGAAACATGCTCATAAACAAACCCTATCATTTTTCTAAGAAAGCCCAAACCAAAAACCCTAATTTTCCTTATTCAAGAAATCTAATGTAAATGAAACCTTTTTAGCATCAGAAGCTTACCTTTATATCTTCTTGAGTTTTCCCTTCGATTTTCCTTCCAAACCGTCACCGGAATCTGCCGCCTTTCCCAAGCTCTACCGCCCTTCCTCCTCTTTCTTGCTCGCTCTCTCCTTCGGTTCGACCGAAAGAACAAACAAGGGACCGAATGAATCGGTCCCTAGGAGGATGAGGGGGTTAAGGGAAAATCAAATGCCAAATTACGCTTGTGCCCGTTCTCTCATTTCTTTTCTTAAGAGTTCATGAGGGCAAAATGGGTATAAAGGGTTAAATTATACTTAAACGAACTTCGATGAATTTTAGTTTCAAAATCTAAGTATAGATTCTTTATACCGTTTCGATCGAAATTTCACATTGAATTTTATAAAATTTATTTTGTCGAATTCCAACAACTTTGAATTTTTTCCTAAATTCGTCGCAGCGCATCGAAATGCGTGCGACGCATTCGATTGATTGTTTTCGGGTTTTTTTTCGGCTTTGGTGTGTGGTTGCTTTGCATTTCCTTGTTAAGTTCTAGAATACGTGTTGCTTAAGCTATGTCCTTTCCAAGTATAATAAGAATAAGATGAATATGGTGTGTATGAATATTATGATTGGTTCATGAGTATTCTTAAAATTATTTACCTCGACACTATTTTGTTACCATTATCAATTTTATTAAGTGTCTTGGGCAAGAATTTTAGATGAATTAATATATAACACCTTCCATAGGGTGTTATTTGTCAAAACTCGACGAGAACTGATGATCAGATGAATATTATAGTTCTTTTAATAACAATAATTACTCAATAGACAAATCCAAATATAATTTAAGAGATATGAAAATAGTTTTTTAACAGAGATTTAAAAGCGTCTTGTCCTATTTGATGCATTGAACGACGCATTTCATAAAATGATTGAAAGATTCTTTAAATAGTTTGCATCATTTCCTCCAAAATTTCTTCCTTATTGTCAGAGCGAAACCTCACATATTGCTGACTATTATTTCTTCTTCCCTAGTGATTTATTGAATAAATTAATTTTGATAAAATTAATATCATGAATTTCTCTCTATCTAAATTTAAATAGAAAAATAATTACCCCCTTCTCTTCTTCTTTCTCTCACTGAGCACACATCTCTATTCCCCAAATTCCTTTTCTTCCTCTCGGTCCCTGCTTCTGATTTGTGTTTTCTCTCGTTGACTCTACTGAACGGAGCAAATAGGAGATATCCCTTTTGAGGAGTTGCACATCTTTGCTTTCGATCGCATTGAATTTGCTCATTCATTCAATCACTTTCCCTCGTGCCTGCGTGCTTGGTTATTTCGCTTGAGCTCTTACTTCTTCGATCTCTCGCTTGCCATAGTGAGGGGACCGATTTGATTGAACCAGTCCAACATGTTTTGACATTATCTAAAACCTTGAATATTAGGTTAGTTATTATCTAAACCATTTAATGTTGATTGTTGAGGCATATTATGTGAGGTGTTATCTAAACCCTTGAATATTGAGGCATTATGTGAAGTGTTATCTTTAAATACCCTAAAAAAAACTTATTTAAAACCCGTTGAACATTCAGGGCATAAGAATTATGGATAGTTGAATATGATATTATTGGCAATTCATGAATGTCCTTTTGAAGATGAATCATATGAATATATATAATTACAAATGAATTCTTTTGATATTGTGGAATTTGAATCTTTACCTACATAAGAATCCACATTAAAATCTGGAACCTAAAATTAAGCAATAATTAGAACTTTAATTTGAGTATGAGGACTACTTTGAATCCAAACCCTAAATATTTAATAAACTTGAGAATTAAAGTGAACCTACGGTTTTATTTTTTATTTAAACTTAAATTTTAAGTAGTAATCTTTATTTTGAATCTATGCATCTACGTGAAATTGAATTTGCTTATGAACGTGAAATTGAATTTCCAATAGAAATTGTATTTGTTCTTGCTATGAACTTGAACCAATAAAAAGCATTGATTTTAGTCCTGAAATGTAGAGTAGAACAAATCATGTCTATTGTAATTGGTGAGTCAATTTATCAAATTGATAAAGTTATTCCTGAATGTCAAAAAGAATAAATAATGTTCGTTGTAGTTAATAAATTATTAATTCATAAGATGCTATTTGCTAATTTCACTCCCACGATTGATGTTTTATATGATAATGATTTTATTTAAGGTTTGGTTTTAGTCTTGTGAATTTATGAGCAGAATCTTAGCGAGAAA